GCTGTGTATCGTCGGCATAACAGTGAAAAGAAATGTTGTACTGATTAATAATTTGACCTAAAGGCAACATGTAAAGGGAAAATAGCAGGGGCCCTAAAACTGACCCTTGAGGGACACCACAGGAGACACAGACAGTCTGGGACTTGGCATTGCCAAGACTAACACATTCCAGCCTATTGGAGAGGAAAGATTTAAACCAGTTGGGGCAGGACCTCCTCCCTGACCCGGAGAGGGCACTCTACCCTTTTCCGGCTCAAGACCATGGCCTCGGATTTGGAGGAACTGATCCTCATCCCGGCCGTGTCGCACTCGGCTGCGAACTGCTCCAGCGAAAGCTGTTGATCACGATATGATGAAGCCAATAGGACCACATCATCTGCAAAAAGCAGAGACGCAATCCTAAGGCCACCAAAATGGATCCCCTCAACACCTTGGCTGCGCCTACAAATTCTGTCCATAAAAGTTATGAACAGAATCGGTGACAAAGGGCAACCTTGGTGGAGTCCAACTCTCACCGGGATCAAGCCCGACTTACTGCTGGCAATGCAGACCAGGCTCTGACACCGGTCATACAGGGACCTAACAGCCCGTATCAAAGGGCCCGGTACCCCATACTCCCAGAGTACCCCCCACAGGGTTCCCTGAGGGATGCGGTCGAACACCTTCTCCAAGTCCACAAAGTACATGTAGACCAGTTCGGCAAACTCCCACGCACCCTCTAGGACCCTGCTGAGAGTGTAGAGCTGGTCTAGTGTTCCACGACCAGGATGAAAACCACACTGCTCCTCCTGAATCCAAGGTTCAACTATCCAACGGACCCTCCTCTCCAGAACCCCCCAAATAGACCTTACCAGGGAGGCTTAAGAGTGTGATCTCCCTGTAGCTGGAACACACTCTACGGTCCCCCTTTTTGAATAGGGGGAACACCACCCCGGTCTGCCAATCCAGGGGAACTTCCCCCGATGTCCACGCAATATTGCAGAGTCGCGTAAGCCAACACAACCCTACAACATCCAGAGCCTTAAGGAACTCCAGGCGAATCTCATCCACCCCTGGGCCCCTGCCACCGAGGAGCTTTTTAACCACCCCGGTGACCTCAGCACCAGAGATTGGAGGGCCCGACCCAGGTTCCCCAGTCGCTGCTTCCTCAGTGGAAGACGTGCCGGTGGGATTAAGGAGGTCTTCAAAGTATTCCGCCTACCGACCCACGACATCCCGAGTTAAGGTCAGCAGTACACCACCCCCACTATAAACAGTGTTGGTGGCGTACCGCTTTACCCCCCCCGAGACGCCGGATGGTGGACCAGAATCGCCTCGAAGCCGTGCGGAAGTCATTCTCCATGGCCTCTCCAAACTCCTCCCATGCCTGAGTTTTTGCTTCAGCGACCACCCGAGCCGCATGTTGCTTGGACTGCCGGTACCCATCAGCTGCTTCCGGGGTCCCACGGGCCAAAAAGGCCCGATAGGACTCCTTCTTCAACCTGACAGCATCCCTCACCGACGGTGTCCACCACCGGGTTCAAGAGTTGCCTCTACGACATGCGGCCGCAGCTCCGGTAAGCCGCCTCGACAATAGAGGCACGGAACATGGCCCACTCGGACTCAATGTCCCCCACCTCACCCAGAACATGTTTGAAGTTCTCCCGGAGGTGGGAGTTAAAACTCCGTCTCACAGGAGACTCTGCCAGACGTTCCCAGCAAACCCTCACATCACGTTTGGGTCTGCCAGGTCTGACTGTCATCCTCCCCCACCATCGGAGCCAACTCAACACCAGGTAGTGATCAGTGGACAGCTCCGCCCCTCTCTTCACCCGAGTGTCCAAGACATGTGACCGCAGATCAGATGAGACAACGACAAAGTCGATCATCGAACTGCGGCCTAGGGTGTCCTGGTGCCAAGAGCACATATGGACATCCTTGTGCTTGAACATGGTGTTCGTTGTTGACAATCCATGACGAGCACAGAATTCCAACAACAGAACACCACTCGGGTTCAGATCGGGGGGGCGTTCCTCCCAACCACACCCCTCCAGGTCTCACTGTCATTGCCCACGTGAGTATTGAAGTCCCCCAGCAGAACAAGGGAGTCCCCAGGAGGTGAACTTTCCAGTACCCCCTCCAAGGACTCCAAAAAGGGTGGATAATCTGAACTGCCGTTTGGTGCATAAGCACAAACGACAGTCAGAACCTGTCCCCCCACACGTAGGCGGAGGGAGGCCACCCTCCTTATTTCAGTACCCTTCCTATTAAATGCAGCATTGTCATCATAAGCCGATATTGTCTACCAGCATTTCTGAAATGTTACTTTTGTTTTGAAAACTGTTCATCAAAATGCGATTATAAGCACGATCCATGCTCCTGTGTGAGCAGTGTTTTAATGACACCAGTCACGTCTCCTAATCAAACCCCCTCAGATCCTCCCTCTGTTCTATATGTTGGAAAATTATGATTGTCTTTTGTCTCAGAGACAAAGACTACTTTGATCTATCCTGACTAATGATTATCTGCGGGACAAATTACACAAGATTAGGACCATTTTATGGATGGTTAATTGTGAGTTAGACTTTTTATAGACTTTCATTTACTTCAACTTTAGTTGCTTTTAAGCCAACTTTTCATTATCAGAATGACTTGGAAAATTTTTGTAAATATTTTTATTTTGATGTTTCATAATTTATTTCAAGGTTCTTTACTGTCACATTACATGTGGTACATGAGGTGGAACGAAATTATGTGCTTAAAGTTCCAGTTACACCCAAAGGCTGACTCCAACAGACTTCTGTGCAGCCTCCATGCCACATGTTGATGCTGGAGCACAGTATGCTCTCCACTGCACACCTGTAGAAGGAGGTGAGGACTGAGCTTCCCAGACCAGCTCATCTCGGCCGCCTGAGGAAGTAGAGTCTCTGATGAGGTTTCTTGATCAGGCTGGTGGTGTTGTTGCCCCAGCTGATGTTGTCATTCTGGTGCACACCAAAGTATTTGTAGCTGGAGACCACTTCCACTGCAGATCTTCCTGGTGTGTATGTGTGTGTGGGTGGGGTGGGGGTGGGGGGGGTTGCTCCTTCTGAAATCCTTTGTCTTATTCACAGTGATGTGAAGGTTGTTGTTCCTGCACCAGCTCTCCAGGTGTTCCACCTTCTGCCGGTAGCTGGACTCATCGTTGTTTGTGATGCATCCCACCACCGCTGTACCATCTGCAAACTTTACAATATGACAGCCTGGATGGGTAGGTGCACAATCATATGTGAGTAGAGTGAACAGGAGAGGGCTCAACACACAGCCCTGAGGGGAGCCACTGCTGAGGGTTATGGTGGAGGAAGATTAGTTGTGGATCCTGACAGACTGTGGTCTTTTTGTTAAGAAGTCCAGGACCCAGTTGCAAATGGAGGGGCTTAGTCCTAGTGTGAGTAGTTTCTCCATCAAGGTTTGGGGAATCATGGTATAGAAGGCAGACGTGAAGTCCACAAAAAATATACAGACGTAGGAGTCTTTCTGCTCCAGGTGGGTGAGAGCAGTGTGGACTACAGAGGTTATTATCATTGTAGAGCCAGAGCATAGATACTTGTCATGATTTGACAAGTTCTTAATTTTCAGGGCTGTTTTTTGCTTGTAATAAAGGTAAAAGATTTACTTTGAAGAGAACAAATAAAGGCAGTTCTTCTGGATTGTCATCTGCAGGGAATAGAGGATACTGATCAGTGGTGTAGTTCAGGCTTTGATTATAGAAACTGGATCTTTGGAACAATGAGATACGTTCTGATTATTTTTGTTTTGCTGATTTGAGGAGGCGTCAAACTCCAGGAGTCCAGGACGGGGGCAGGGCAGACATGTTGGATGATTCCTCATGTAAATAGGCTGAGCTGACTTTTATCATTTCAAGTAGGAGGCAGATTTTTAAAAAGTTGATTCATTACATTTGTACAAGGTACCCGGTATACATGCAAGAGGAGCACAAGAAAAGAAAAAATCACTGGTAAGCTTGAAGTAACCTCACCATGTGATATTCACCTGTCCAACAAAGAGTGGCATCTCAGCTCAGCCTTAAGTACAGTAGGTGGTTGATTAGGGGAGAGTAGCCCCGAAGGGTTAGCAGAAAGCCCACTCACTAGCAATAACTGTTCCACAGCTGGACAACCTGAGAACTGCTCATGCCTGGTTCTCCACCTGACAAACAAAAAAGTTGAAAAGGGAGAACAACATCCTAGACAGGTTGAAATCCTAACAGAACCCCCCAAAATTAAAAACTGGGCAGATGCCTCCCCTAGATGATTCATGAGCTGCTGCACCTTCATAAAACTGTTAAAATATGAACTACTAAGACTAGTTAAGACCGTCCTTTTTTGATTTACAGTATATTATAGTTGGGGTTTTCATGAGTCGCCTGAGATATAATTATGTACGCTGCTATAGGCTGAGAAATAATCAGTCTGTTTGAAACAGTTATGTTGCTTTAGTAATGATTTAGTCATTTAAGTATAATTCCATAGTGTAAATATGATATCAGTACCATTGCTACATTATTGTGTAGCAGCACAGTCATCTTAGCAGAAACTTTCATTCAGCTTTATTTACAGATTCAACACAGGCAAGATGCTGACACAACTCTCCAGTATTATACTGTTTGTAGCAACAACAAAAAGAAGTTAATTTGCAACATTAGTCTCTGAAAGGGCTACAAGACTAACAAACTAACAAACGTCTAAAATTAAATTAATAAAATGTCATGTTTATTTTGTTTCCAATGTCACTGACACTGAGTACTTCAGAGTCTGTAGTTTTCATCAACGACATTGTCTAAATATCAACACGCTGAAGAACGTTTGCATTCAATAAGTTATAATGTATGAAATTACGTTGGCTTTAAATTATTACAACTGTGCAGTGACTATTTATTTCCTCTTCTGGCACATTAAAACCATGAAGTCAATGACCTTGATGAAAACAATTAGAGAAGAGAATTTTTCCGGTGGTCCGTGAAGGCAGCAGAGTCACGCGTCGTTTCTCTCAGAGAATCTAAACATGGCGGACGATGGAGAGTCACTTGAGTCCTGGCTTAGTGAGTATACACTTTGTCGTCGTTTCTAGTCATGTACCCATGTTACGCGTGCGCGAGTCTGTTCTTTATCACGACAAGTGCTCGAAGTGTTACTTGGACTGTCGTGACATTTCGTTAAAGAAGTGTTACTGCGCTCTGTTGGTCTGTGTTGTTGGCTAACAAATCTAATAACACATAGCAAATGAATGAATGCCAAAATCCCACTTCGTATTTGGTGTACTTATTTATTACTTCTACACATATCTACAAAGTATGTTACGTTCTTGTTCCGTGTGACATTTGTTACTGTAACACTTTAGCTTAGTTAGCATCTTTAAGTTGAAACAACAACTAATGGCTTGATCAAAATAAGTTCACTGACCTAGAAGGGATATATTAATGGCTTATTTAGATCTGAATATTTCACAGCTCCATTTTCATTAACTTTCCAGGGACAAACAGCAGCTCTTGGCTTAATGTTCATTTGCAGGATCTTTTCAGGTTGCACTCTTTTTCAGATAAAGCCACCAACCCCTCCAACAGACAAGAAGACTGGGAATATATAATGGGATTCTGTGACCAAATCAATAAGGAGCTAGAAGGGTATGACCACATTTATACAATAAGCTCAGTTTGTCCTTTAGCTCTGAATCACGCCCATCTAATCTAATCACAAATGCCCTCACTGTTAGGATTTGTATGACCTCTTGTAATGAAATTCCTACTACATTGCACAGAGAATTACATTTTTTTTTTCTGTGACATTTTTCAGTCCCCAAATCTCCGTTAGACTATTAGCACACAAGATCCAGTCCCCTCAGGAGTGGGAAGCGATACAAGCATTAACGGTCTGCAGCCTTATCATCTCATCGTGTTTTGTTTTCCATTCTGATGTCTGTCAACTTCAAACTAATTAAGTTTATTTTTGCTTTTGTAGGTTCTGGAGGCTTGTATGAAAAACTGTGGGCGAAGGTTTCACAATGAAGTTGGAAAGTTTAAGTTTTTAAATGAGTTAATTAAGGTGGTTTCACCTAAAGTAAGTAGCAAAACTACTCAAACCTGCAATAATATTTTAATGAATGTAGGGTGGCATCTTGAGCTGTGCTTTTATTGTTTTTCAGTACCTTGGGGACAGAGTATCAGACAAAGTGAAGAATAAGGTGATAGAGATGTTGTATACTTGGACAGTATCTCTACCAGATGAAGCAAAGATCTGTGAAGCGTACCAGATGCTGAAATCACAGGGTGAGACACTGGCCACCGAAAATCAGTTTTAACAATCGAGACATGGAAAAAGTTGCACCTTAAAAATTATACAGTTTGCAGATGAAAGTTTGAGTTTTACTTTTGTGTAATTTTGTCACTGAAAATCAAGCAGCTGTGTTTAACAGCCACTGTTCTTATTTCAGGTATTGTTGTTGCTGACCCGGACATCTCTCTTGATGCCACATTAATACCCTCACCTTCTCCACGGCCCAAGAATCCTGTATTTGATGATGAAAAAAAGAGCAAAGTGAGTGAAACCGTTTTGTGAGATGAGCAGATATCAAGTATTTCAGAAGCAATGTTTACACTACTACGCTGAACTTCTAATATGTGCATGTACAGTAGTCCCTCGCTACTTCGCGGTTCATTTTTCGCAGACTCGCTCTATCGCAGTTTTTCAAAATAAGATTGGACATGACACACAATTGGCTGAATGATGGATGAGCTGCACGATCGGCATGGATTTTTAAATTTAAATAAATTATTTAAAATTATTTAGTACCTGCTGCACCTCTGTGCGGACCACACTGCAGGATAAGCTTCCTCCTGCAGCTGATCAGCTGATCTCCATGCAGAGATTAGAAGTGGGCGTGGCCTAGAGCGCTTGCAGGTGGCAGAGAGTATTTGTACTACTATTCTTACTTTATGATTTTTCACTTATCGTGGGGCTTCAGGGTACAGATCTCATTCGATAAACGAGGGACTACTGTACACGATCTTTATTTTAATTCAGTGTAATTCTAATAAGATAAATTAGGGGGAGATTTAAATGACATTATTGCTCAGTAAAAGATGAGTAAATAATTTACTGCTGCCAGAGAGGTTTTGAATACATCAAGAATTACTAGCTAATATCAAGGTCAGTTTTGTTTTGAAATGTTTATTTGAAAACAGCCAAAGCTGTTTAAAAACACAGACCAAATTAGAAAAGAAACAGATTTTATTTTCATATATAACAGAGCACTGAGTAGTCCTAGTTGAGACCGAAGTGATCTTTCAACACCAGCTTTTTAAAAGATACTTTACAGCCCCAACTCTGAGAGTGTTGCAATGTTGTGTAAAATGTAAATAAAAGCAAAATGCAAGGATTTGCAAATTTCATAAACATTTTTTAACCATGAATAATATTAGATATGTCAGATGTAGAAACTAAGAAATTGTACGATTCTTTTAGTTCAGAATTTGATGGCAGCAGAGCGTGTTAGAGAAGTTGAAACAGAGGCAACAATCTCTTAACATCTAGGGGCTGAGAAGACCAGTTATTGGAGTTTTTGGAGGGCAACGTTGACCCATTCTAGTCTGATGTAGGATTCTAGCTTTTCAAGAGTCCTGGGTCTTCATTGCTAGATCTGGAAATGTGTTGTTCTCAAACCTGTATATGCTGGTGAAGATTCTCAAACCTGTATAGCCCTTTCTGCATTGATGGTGCCTTGCTAGATGTGTAAGCTGCTCAGGCCATAAGCACTAATGCACCTCCATACCATCAGTGAGGCAGGCCAGTTAGTTCCTCTTGTCTTATGTGTAGAGGATGGAGCATAATGTGAACTGAACGTTTTTAAATTAGTCACTTTGGTCCAGAGAAGATGGCAGCGTTTCTGGATGGTGTTCACGTGATTTCTTTGGCATCATTCTTCGAATGGTAGAGCTTTTAGCAGCATTTGTGGATGGTAAATGTGTTTACAGACCATGATTTGTGAAAGTATTTCTGAGGCTGTAAATGAATGTCCAGAACAAAATCTGAACTCTTTTAAATGCAGAGCTACCCGAGGGCCAGAAGCTCACACACATCTAAACTTGACTTTCAGTCTTGTCCTTTGCACACAAAGATTTCTCCTGCTTTTTAAAATCTTCGTATGATAATATGAACTTTTAATAATGGATATACATTTTTCTTGGATTTATAATGTACAAACACTGAACCACTTTGGATTAACTAAATGAGCTTTCTCTAATTGTTTGTCAAAATGAGTTTGTTTTTTCTGTACTATCTGTGTAAAAATAGCATAAAAACTTAAGATTAAAGCCCACTCTTACTGGGTTTTAATCTTAGTGTTCCACACCACAAGAATATAAAGTAGAACTGAATCAATAAATAATCTATGAGGTACACTCGCATATAGAAAACAATTTTAAAATTTACTATTAAATGTTAAACTATTCAAAATAGATTTAATACTCAACTTCTTTTCATATCCATTTCTTAAGGTGTTAATGTTGATGGTCAGGTTATCGTGTGTATGCTGACATTTTCTTTTCTCAAACACTATTTCAGTATTTTCGTAATCTCTTCAACTGTATATGTTTCATTATTTTAACATCTTAGTTCTAATCTGTGTTGGTTTGGTTCTGATGACCCAGAATATCTGAGTTCTGCTGTACACGAACACAAACTTTAGCTAATAGTTTATGTTGTGTAGTGAACTAAGCCTCAGGTCAAAAGCCTTCCTGGGACAGGAACTGTTATTTCATTGATTTGTATCCAGAAATACAAATTAAGCTCATCCAGAGACTTTCTAATTGTATCCTGCACTGATCAATTGAAAGAACACTCTCTTTTTTTTTATCATTACTATTTTACAATATCTTGATAATCAAAGTGTGTTTAGTTCAAATCATTTTTAAATGTTGAAGTGAACTACTCATTTTAAATCAACTGTGAAACAGTATTAATGATTTTTAATCCTCATTCAAAGTAGAAATCAAGTTAATGTCTGTTATAGAGTAATTATTCATTTTCTTGATCTTCTGTCTGAAATGAGCAAGTTGTGATGTCGGTCAAAAGTCGGAGACAAACGCAAACAAGTTTATTGGAACGAACTGTCATGTTTTTAAATCCTCTCAGACAGAAATAAGAAGCTGGCACCTGCTGTCTGTCATCTCGCCTAAACATTTCTCTGTCTGTTCCAAAAACATTTTTCTGTCTGTTCCAAAACATCTCACTGTTTTTCTGACTTCTAGTGACCTCTTGCGTCACTAAAACCACACCCCTGTTGGCTCTTTCAGCCAATCAGGACTTCCCAAATGAACCGGAAACAGAACTCTTTAAATGTCGACACTTCCTAGTTCCAACCAGTTCGGAGAGCAGAACCGAACAGAAAAGTTGCTGGAGAGAACAAGAAGTTCCAGACATGATCCGAAGTTCTTCCGAGTCTCGTGGGAATTATGGAATCTTCCACATTTGAGTGGAACTCTGACGGGCTCACAGCTCATGTGAGTCCACCTGAGAGGTGAGCGTGGTGTTGAACGAAGTACCGTCACTACTTCGGACGATTCGCAGCTGTTCCTACGGAGACGCTGGAAAGGTAGCGTTAAATGGAACTCCGTACCAGTGGAGACATCTTCTACAAGGTAACAAGTCCCTCACTACCGAAGTGTACCGAGGTGGAGCTGGGTTCGGATGGAGGGTGCCGTTCGTTATCAACCCACTTTTCCCTCATCCATTTCCTCTCCATTTAAACTCCTTCATTTTCCCATCTTTAAACTTCTATCTTGCCAGTAATCATCCAGATATTTTCAGAAATGTCTGTTGTATTTTAGTTGCAAGTGAGAAAATCATGGCCGTATGATTTTCTCACTGCAAAGCTCATTAATTAAGCTGTGTTATTGCGTTCAATCAGAATAATCACGTGTACAATGTTTGATGTTAAATTTTGATTCTGTTAATAAATGACCACATTCATTTTGATGGGTCAAAGAAAATTAACGTCTCACGTCACTGATTAAACCATCTCCCACACATTATCTCTGTCACATATCTGTCAAGTAGCTCGAAAAAGAGAGAATCCGTTTAAATTAAGTATAATATCAGGTACTTGAACTAGTCCAGATATTATACCATGTAGTGGAGCTCCGAAGCTAAACGAAGCTAACCGACCTATTTCACTACAGTTGTTTCTGACCCAAGGAATCCTAAAGATCACCTGTCTTCATCATCATCATTATTAATAACAGTGCAGTCCAAACGTTCTTCTTCTATGGATTTATTTCTGATGGCAACATAAGATTATTTTTCCTCATGTCAATCTGATTCTGTCTGAGCTGCAGCTTCTATTTGATTATGTGCATCGGCATCTTCAGCTGCTCCCATAAACACATTTACCATACCTACAGAGTTTTTAATAGCTTGGAATAAAACTTAATGTGAACTGAAATATTGAAAGAACGCTGTAGAGGATTTAAAGTTTGAGTGGTAATGAGTGTCTTTCTAGAGTTGATATCATACCATGCCATTTTTATTATAAAGCACTTAAAAACAGCAACAAGCCAACCAAAGTAATGTACAACAAAAACAAATGAGCAAACAACACAGCATAAAATACAGAGATCCACAGAGGTACAGAAAATAAACTAAATGATTTAAATTATAAAATACAGAGAAGTAAAAATCAACTTGTATAGGGTCGAAAGCCAGGGAACAAAAGTGAGTTTTAGGGACTAAGGTTGACGTATCAGGTCAGCGTTGTGTAATTAAACCATCACAAGTGGGATTTTGACATGTAGAAAAGTCATATTTTTACTAGAGCCCGACAGATATGGAAATTTTGGCTGTCGTCGATACCAATATTTGGCAGGGAATGCGAATGCCGATAACAATATAATGGCTGACAATTTTTTAGTTTTGTTCACCCCCAAAAGTCAAAATTAACGGCGAATGGAGCGGCGCTTGTTTATTTAGCACAGCTGTTAGCAACCATGAAGCTAAGCTAATCAGATCCATGCTATAACTAGTCCCACACTAGGTTTACAAGTGGTGCACTGGTCATAAAAACAGTCTACTTAATGTGCATTCACATTTTGTATCCTCCACTATTCACCATAAAGTTATCAATTGTGTTTAAAAAAAATAATAATTGAACAAAGAAATGCCCTTCCCTGTTCATTGTTTAAACAGGCAGTCACGTATGGTGAAAGTCTAGTATTGACCTCAGCAGCATTTTTTTTCTTTGTAGAGAAGTTAACATTTCAGACAAACAATGCATTTCGAGGATGACAAAATAACTTTACTAACGCTGATGTTTTGTCAGATTTATTGTTCTGGATAATGATTTACAAGGAGATAGCCTATGTTAAACGTTAGCTTGCTAACTTGAGAGGCACATAGCTACTGAGTCAGAGTCAGTCAGAGAGTCAGAGATTCTTTATTGTCATTTGCACCTCATGTGGTACATGTGGTGGAGCGAAATTATGTACACAGGGTCCCAGTTACATCCAACAATAAAATGTATAAGAAAAACAGTAATAACATCT